GCAGACTCTGGAACCATGCAGCCGCGGGGCGGGGGGAAGATCAGACTACGGCTACAGGACACTTCCATGTGCACAGGCCATTGAAGGATAGTCATGCTGAAGCTTGACTTTATATTCAATATGCTGTGCCAACCTTCCTCACTATTACTTCCTTCACATATTTCTTCCCCTCTCCTCCACTGAATTATGCTCTAAGGCCCCTAGAAAGTATCTACATGCCTTGGACCATGAGCTGGACTGGCACAACAGTAGAAGTGTTTAACAAAATTCAAGTCAAAGAGAGGGTATGGGCATTTTTAAATTCTTACTTCCCTTGGCCACTCTATAAATAACTCTGGATAAGAACAAACTGTTTGTACCTACCAGCAGAAGACCTATCATCTATAAATTTCCCCTACAGTGGTGTAATTGTGCAAAGAAATCCACATATGGGACAGTTTGATTACGTATCTCTTTCCAACAGAATTTTCTTTTCACTGATTTCATCTGTTATTCTAGATTAAACTGGAAATTTCTTCATAGTAACTTCAGAATAAATAATGTTTCTGGATTTGTCAGCAGCGGAAATCATAATCCATCCCATAATTTCTAATGCTTACATGGAAAAGTCAGTAAAATGTGAAAAAATGGAAGGGAGAGCTCTTCCTTTGTACTTGACAGCATCAGACCTATCATATTTTAGAACACTCCTGGTACTACTACAGCAATAAAATTGTTAAAAAAAGCACAAGTAGAGAAGTATGCTATTGTCATTTTTTAGGATTTCTTGAAGGTTTGTCAATAAGGTATTAGAAATTCACTCAAGGCTGAAAACCTAGTTATTTTTACACTCAAATTTGCAGTTTCTACTTTGGAACTGCAGAACGGTCAGCCACATAAAGTCAAACACCGAAGCCCACATCTTGCATGCCGCCCCACGCTGTGCGTGTGCATATGAAGGCCATCAAGACTATTTTGATTTCACGGACGTGTCTGCCTGTACGGAGAAAGGAAGGAAACACATTTTTTCCTGAAACTTGCTTGCAGACCCAGGTCTTCTTCAGTATTCCTAACCAATTTTGGCAATTTAATAAAAAGTCGAGAAAATCCTACAATGTGACAGATCAGCTATGAGAGCACACACTGAAATGAGGACAACCTTTAAGCCATCAGAATTCTCTCCATGAGACTAGACTGTTTCTGTGTCAGACTCAGCACGCAGAGATTTTCCTTTTTCAGGGCTATAAGGAATTTGACAAATAAACCTACTACAGTTAATAGCATTTTAATCTTTATGCATAATAATCGCAAGCCTACATTGTACAGGTTTGATAGTAATGACAGCTGAATGTGAAGCATACATTTCTTTCCAAAACAGATGCGCATGTAGGTGGATGTGTTGTAGAAATATAATATACTACACAGTTGAGCCTAGATAAGCCGGTGATTCTCAAATGTCAGCATCATCTGCACAAAGTTAGGGTCGAAATCTGCTCTCCTAAATACCTGTTCATCCTTCTTATGACACTTTCTCTAAAGAGCTCAGTGAATAGTAGATAAAATAAGTATCTAATGAGGTATGACAGAAACCCTGATGGAGCTAAACAGCAGAGATCTAAATTCTAATAAACGAAGTAAAACATTTACTGCCAGCAACTATGTCAAGTTAGCCACAGGAAACTGTAGCTCTGCAGATGGAGAAGGGCAATACTCTGCAAGCCAGAGAAGCCATGGAACTCCTCCAGCTCTGATTATTTATGGTGTGATGATGAAGGAACAACTTTCCATGTGAGGAACAGCTTTAAAGTTGAACAGTGAAGCTGAAACAGAGATTTAATGAAAAATCAGAGGAGAACAAAACTACAGCAACAAAACCAGTAACATTCGTTTTAACAATTTAGAAATATAATTTATGTGCAAAACCAGATGTTAACATGTCCAGCTTCAAGGTAAACAGCAAACTGTGTTCATAACAACCCTTCTGCTGAACAGCAAACACACACTATTAAATGTTGCTGTAAATAAGCCTCACTTCATACCTTCAAATGTTATCAAAGTGAACACAAATGCAAACCAAACACATTTCAAACAAAGGACACATCTGTATTTAATGCAAAGCTATTTTCAAAAATCCCAACCTTTCATAATCTACCATAATCATAATAGCCTGAAACATAAGAATGCTTTCAGGCTTAGAAAAAAAGGCTTCTGATTTTAAATGTTTACGAGGACACTGAGAAGTGGCTTAGAACCATACTTCAAAACATGTTTTCAGGCTTTAAATTGCTGAAAGCTGAAACCTCTTTACCTATTTGGCCTGGACTACAGAGAAGGAGAGAAGCACAAAAATAGATGAGAAGACTGTACATGAAAATTTCCATTTAAAAAAAATTGTAACCCACTCCCTCGTCCCAAACCTCCTCCCTTCCATCATCACTGCAACTCCCCCCACTTTTACATGGAATGAAAGGGATTCACTCTTCTTGCGTGATCACCACCACCAAGCAAGTCACCTCTATCACTGGTGCAGATGCACCACCATTTTTAACAAACACTTTTTGAAACTATTTTTGAAGGACAACTCTGCTATCATTGGTGCGGTTCCTGAACAGAAGGGACTCCGTGTCAGAGCTGCATTCATTTCAGCTCATTTTAAACTACACCAAGGAATAGGTGATACTGCACAAAAGGTGATTTAACACCAGTTCTAAATAATGAACATGATCAAACCTTTTTATTGTTTTGGGTTTTTTTTCCCTCAGCTCTCATAATGCATGCTTTATGCTGAGAATCCACTTCCCTTTGATATGCTATAGCTATGTGAAGGAGGGATTGTTCTCACATTTCTGCTTCAGAGAAAACATCAAGCTGTTTGATTTTGAAAATTAAAGGATTAAGATGGGGGAAAAAAACGCTTCTAAATGCAAACACACTCTACTAAGTTAAATATAGTCTCAGTTTGATATGAAACACTGACTTTAAAATTAGCTATCCCTTTCCAAATACACTATACGTTCTCCTCCATCTACCCAGCGAAAATAAATACGAATATATTGTGCGCACTAAGATGGGTGTGCCATACCCAAAAGTAAGAACAAGCAGTATTTTTGACGTAGTTCAGCACACAAAAGTAATATACGAAAGCAAAGAAACAACCACAAATTTGCATTTACAGCAACAGGTAATACAAAGTAAGTTTTGAAAATCCACGAGGATTCTTCCACCTTACAAGGCATCTGGATAGTTCTATTTTCCTTTTGTCTTTTATTTTTCTTGGCTCCAGTCTTACAGTTCAACTCCAGTGCAAAGCACCATGCAAGAAATTACACTCAAAACTATTAGCGCACCAGAACTACCTTTACTGTTTAAAACCAAAACATGTACACAAAATATTGCAACATCTCCTGGAATTCCACTCAGCAAACCCAGCATTTTTAGATCTCTTCTCATGTTCTCATCACCACGATTTCTGCAAAACACTGAGAAGCCACCCAGGACATCTTAGGCATGACTCCTTCAAAACTGCAATCCCTCAATTATAGTTTGACCACAAGAAGAAATGGGTAGAGTAGTATTGCAGAGACAGTATTGGTCGATTTTTCAGGCTGCCCTCTGATGTGCTCTGACTTCCGTTGAACAGTGACATAGTGACTTCTTATGCTGCCTCCATTATTGCTCCCAGAATAACCCAGAGGTACATAAGGCTCTACGTGACAGCAGTTTAAACACCAATTTCAAACTAGATTCAATGATTCAATGACTTTGTCATCAAAACTGAGCTCCAGAACTCCATCTCCTCACTGCCTGAACTGACTTGCCCCCTTGGAGATGTGCTGAAATGGTCACTTACTGTGACCTGTAGCAGCGGACATAGCTGCTGTAATGCTATTCCTGCATTACAGCCTGCTACAGCTTTGCATGCTGGTAAGGCAACTGTTACCGGCTCCTGACATTGGAAGGTTAAGGTGCTGTGTGCAATTCCTCTGGTACAGTAAACGTGGCAACACAGGTGAAAAAAATCTCATTACGTATACCATAGACTTAGAAGTGAAGGAACCATTTCCCTTTAAAGTCACAGACCGGGTCAGCTGCAGAGGTACAAAAGCTACATACCAAGAGTGTTAAAGGCAGAGTGCTAACAGTGTTGGCAACAGTAGTGCAGCTGTCACAGAAGGTGCAATGAATATGCCAAAAGTTCACTGTGAAACACACAGTCTACTGCAGAATGTCAGACTTCCCAGGAGCAACCAACTCAGATTACTCTTTTTAAAACAAACATGGTTTATTTCATAAAGCAGTCAGGCTTTGAGGGTTCCACCTTCACGGGTGGCAACTAACTTGTCTTCAACCCAAAGAGCTACAGGCAAAAAAATACATGTAGATTGTTCACTTTAAAAATCTGAAGATCCTTGCTGTTACCAGGACAGAATACAACACCTAGAAGACCTGCCAATAACAAACCTGCAAGCAATTAACATGGTTGAAGACACTAACATCAAGAAAACAAGAATTAAAAGCTCTTAAATAACAGATTATAAAGCTCCTGAACGTCGGCTGCATGTATGCATGTTCAGATGATTCAGAGAACTGCATGGAAACAGATATTTACCATAAAACCTGGAAGCACAGTTGAGACTGAAATTACACTTTAGGTCTGGTTTGTCATTTCATTCAAGATTGACATTACCTCATATAAACTGATTTATTTTTGTGTGTATAGCATAACTTAACTTGAAAATCTTTTTACTTGATGTTAACCATTAGTATTGTGTATTTGCTGCTGCTAAGTTCCTTAAGCACGAATTTTAAGCACAGTGTTTAATAGTCAGCTTGCATGTATCCATGTGGAATGACACTGGATAAATTCATTTTCTATTTAACAAAATAAAGGTTAGCATAACTTAAATAAAACCCCAACGAACCCACCAGACAAACCTCTGAAGTGATACATCTCTTGAGTTAGTTTAGCAATGCAGCAAAAAACCATAAACAATTCAGTAAGGTAGTTGATGTTTTTCATAGCACTATAGAACTGAGCTTCAATATTCACCATTACTAGAAAGTTCAATAATTCCTTGTTTGGATAACAAACTAAAAATTGTCCATAGAGTGGAAGGGTCTTCACAGTTATGATGACTCTGCCAATGATTACAAAGGTCCTCTTTTCTTCCAAATAACTGTTTGCATAAAATACAGTTATAGCCTGCTTTAGACCAAATTTCTGGTTTTTTGCTTGGTATACCAAAACCTACCTTTTGCATCTCCTTGGCTGCTTCACCGCTTCCCGACTGAGTCAGTTCACTTTTAGGTAACATATTGACATTATTTTGATGGTGGAAGTATAGGTGTCTTTTCAGTTTTGGAAAAGTATAAAACTCCTCCTCATGGGCACTGCATTTTGCTAAATGTCTTCTTTCATGGCGCTGTTTCCAGAAGTGGGTTGTGTGTTTGATCAGTTCTCCCTTAGCTCCTCTATTTCCCTGCAATACCCCTTCCTTCACTCTTCCCTGGATCTCTTCTCCGTGAGAGCACAGTAAGTGAAATTTCATTTCACCAAAAGACTGTGCAATAAACTGGCATCGACCACATTTGATCTGTAATTTCACTTCTCCTGGGTTATGGAATAGGTCCTCAAAATTGCACTTACTTCCCCTGTTAAGAAAAGGAAATACGAACTATTTCAGTATTAGCCACGCACAGAACAGAGATGGCAATTTCTGTCCTTATAAGTTCCAAGAAGAGATGACATTCATGAAACATTCTTTTAATTAAAAACAGGCTCTGTTGCTACAGTATCTCATTTATTTGGAACAGAAAAGAAAAGAGAAAATAGTAATAAGGCTGATTAGGAAACAACTAAAACTAAATGTTACTCGATACTGCTGAGTTTCAGAATTGCCTCCAGAATTAGCCTTGGTAGAAATAATCTTTTAACGACACTAACCTTTTAACAAAAGGTAATAACTGTTTTTTAAGTTTCTGATTTAGTTAGGTCAATCCAAACAGTTCTAGCTCTGGGCTGGAAAAGTGAAAACGAATATTACCTCTAGCCAACTTCTAAGGGAAACTAACTTGCTTACACTGAAGGATCTCAGGTCAATTTCAGGCAAAACCACACGTCCCACCTCCCACTCCAACATGGAAACAATGAAACTTCAAAGTTTCTTTTTTGTTCTCCTAAAAGTTTGTAACACAGTTTAAAAAAGTTTAAATACCTGATCTGCAATTGGACAGGGGCTCTCATTGATTTAGGACGGCTCTGCAGTATAAAGCAAACAGATGCACAGAGGCAGCAAGCCCCTGGTTTAAGTAAAGCCAATCACAAGAAGACCTCCACAGAAATCTTCTCACAAGGTCGATGAAAAGGACCACATAATACTGTGTATTTATATACATTAGACACATCACTCATCAATATAGATAAACTAAATGATTCATTGTATGAAGGCTAGTATGGCTGAAAGAAAAGTGCTGGTGTTTCTTAGGTTCAATACCTTAAAAATTTCTAACTGATGCCCCAGAGAGCAGAGCTATGCAAAGCAAAACGTGTAAAATTGAACTGTAGTGTTGCAGTGAGGCGTCAGGTTAAAGCCCTGAGCTTATTAAAGTGTACTTCAATGAAAGTAAATGCACAGTGGAACAAACAAAAAAAGCCAACATTTATACTCTGTCAAGAAATTTCATCTCAAAATCATAATGCAGAGATAAAAGAATGTTCTTTCCATCTTAATACGGTAAATGTTAACTTTTCTACTTGGCTAAGTGATCGCAAGAGCAGCAGTAATGAACACATAAAACAGATTAGCTCACAGCACTCCAGAGAAGAAAACGGGATAATGATACTTAATAAGGTAAACAAACTACAAGCTAATCCTGACATACGAATTGCTTCGCACTTACTGCAGTTGGTTCACTTATCTTCTGGGGAAAATGCAAAATGGGCAGAACACAGAAGACAGTGCAGATTTACAAAAAAAGCATTAGCTGTGAGAAATCAACTGATTAAAGTAGCTCCGCTGGCAGTATATTGGGTATTACCTGAACACATGCAAAATTACTTTGGATATTCAAGTGTCACTAATAATTTATATTCAATAAATCAGCTAAAATATACCAGATGGTCTAATGGATTGACTAGATTCTTTAACAAAATATTTAAACCCTGAGGAATCTTGCTTTGGGGGAAAAAAAGATGAGGCAAAAAGCAACAAATTTTCATCAGCATTTAATTAGTGAAAACACTCACCTCTCTGCTGCTGCTTCTGCTTCTTTGATGTTTGTGTCTCTCTTCTTTAAAGCATCTTGCATCTGTTGCTCACTGGTAGAGGGCTCTGTGCTGATAACAACCCTGTGCACTTCTCTTAGGTGACCAAAATACACTTTTGCATGGCCAAAAACTTTAGCACAGAATTCACAACACACAAATTTTTTGGGCTTGCCTTCGTTGTGATGAAGTTTCATATGCGTGCTCAGGCTTCCAGAGTGAATATACGCTTTCCGGCAAATTCGACAGCTGTAAGGCCGCTTGTTTGTATGCGTGTTCATATGGTCCTGAAGATGGTGTTTAAACTGGAAGATATGGTTACAAACATGGCATTTATGTGACGGCTTAGGTATGGCTGAACACGCATTTCTACTTAAATCACTTGATTTAGCTGATGTGGCATCACTATGCTTGTAACTTAAATATTTGTTGGGAAGTGAACTGCTTAAAACAATATCTTGGTCAGGAGATGGTGTCTCTACTATTGCTGCAGAAGTCAGTGGTGCAAAAGCCTGCACAACTACCACGGGTTTGGGTCTAATACTACGGTATTTCTTCACTGTCTCTGCTTTTTGGTCTTCAGATGGCTGAAGATCAACTTTCGCCCTCTCTCTTCCTTCTCTAAACTTATTAATGATGCATTTCCTTCGCTTGGTCTGAAAAGCCAATAAATCATCTGGGGCTCTTCTTTTCCTGCCTCTTCTTTTACAGGCTTCACCGTTCAATTTTTTAAGACTGTCGACATCCACTTTATTGGACGGAGAGAAGGTATTTTCTCGAATGGTTTGTCTGGGGACTTCTGTAAATGATACAGCTAATCGTTTATCAGATGCTTTAGTAGGAACATCAAAGGATTTTGTCAAAGCTGGTATCTTTTCACATTCAGATCTTGGTGAAGGACCAGATACATCCATAACAGTATTCTGCTTAGCTTTACAGAACACTGAATTTTTCATCCTTGAGTAAGGCAAAATAGGAAGTTTTCCTTTTGGTGCTGATGGAGTCATCTGTATTGTACTGCTAAAAACTGCCGGTGACAGGACAGCAACAGAATTTGCAGAATTTGTGGGTTTTTCCTCTTGTTTTTCAGACAGTATGAGTGACTCTCTTGTGGTTTCAGATGCTCTCTTCACAGAGTGTAAACTTAGTTTCATGGGATTAATTGTACTTGCTGGCTTGGATAGAGAGTCTTCAGCTACAGATGGCCCAGAAACATTACCATTAGCAATTTCAGTTTTGTTCACTAAAGGAGATCCAGACTCCACACAATTGCTTTTATTTACTAATGTGGCAGCTGTAATTTCAGCTGAGTCATGGTCTGCTAGCATCACTTGCTCAGTTGAATCTGCACTAGAATGAGTTTCAGGACAGTCTTCAGTCAAAGTAGTCATGGGGGAAGTCTGTGATGAGATCGATGCTTTGGTAGGAGTCATGTTATGTGCACGCAAGACAGAGACTTGTGCCAGTTTTTTGTTACTCAGCAACTTATTTCTTACAGACTGGTACCTAGGGATAGGCAGCTTTAGGTTTTCAGAAGGGGCCACGTTTGACTTCTGGACTTGCTGCGTTAGAGCAGGGGCAACATATGGCAAGGCCAACAGAGAAAAAGTCCCCTCATGGCCAGCCACCTGCATGACAGCATAGTTTTGAGTTGGTACCACCAGCGGTTTAGAACCCGCAGCTGAAATTGGTGTATTTAGCTCTGGCAAAGATGACTGAAGACAAGAAACCACTCCAGATGTTAAAATTTTTGGTACCATTTTCGGAGCAATGGTCCTAAACTGACTTTTCGTCTGAAAACTTTGTATTATATCCGAAGGGGATTTGTGTCTATCTGTAATAATAACAGAACAAAGATGTAGTATAATATATAGTATTTCTTTTTACAAAATTACTGTATCAAAAATAAAACTGCTTACAAAGGATATTATTACACAAAAACTTATTAAAAAAATCTTTAGGTCTTTAAATGACCATTAAGTTTACAATTGCAGAAGTTCCATGGGCAAAACAAAAATATTCCCTGAGGCATTTTGCTCGAATATAGGTATGCAAAAAAACCCCCTCCTAATCTTAAATGGCTGTTTCATTCTCGGTTAGAAACACATGGCATTTCAGAACAAATACACTTACAAGCCTCTTCTGCCCTGGAAAACCTGCACTAACACGCTGGCAATATTCAGCCAGAAGAACAGGGACAAGATTCAAACTCCACGATACAGAACTTGCTCTGATCATATCTCTCAATCAGACTTCTGCTATCTTTCAGAGTTTCTGTAACATTTAGAGTTTGTGGGTTTTATGAGACAGAGACCAATGCTTACCTGATGAAGTCTTAAAAGACCTACTACTATACAACATGCAAATAACGCGTAATAAAATCAGAGGACTTGAGAGAAGATGTACCATTGTTAAATACCCAATCACACACATTGCTTATGTGCCTTTAATGCACGATAGAACTATTGTAGGATGTTATTCAAATATTTTCTTGAAAGATGCAATTTATCAAGGTTATAATCACGGTTCCTTCCTGTTTCCACTTGTGTTGGTAAATGTTGCCAACATTTTTAGTAAAGAGGAATGTGAGGATACTTAGGTAAAACAAATAAAAGGAAAAAGGTAAAATGCGTAAGATATAATCTGCTTGAGCAGCAAAGATACATGCTGACCTTTCAGGCACTCTATCAAAAACGATTTGATATATATAGTTAATTGTACCACTACCATTTCATATAACAGCCTCATTATCCACTCTCACATTCAACTACTGATGCTTCCAGTTCTCAAAAACTGAGATAGGTTTTCTGAAGAAAAAAAAATTCCCAACAATCTCAATCACTGAAAATTCAACTACAAAGCTCCCAAGAAGAAAGGCAATTTAGGAAGGCAACAATGTAAGAAAAGTTAATTTCTAGAGAGGGATCACATTTGAATACAGTATGTAAAAATAAATGCTGGGACCTTGAAATACTGCAGTAAGGTAATGCCATAGGAAAGTTACCGTTCCTTATCATTTTAAAGCCTTGTATTACAAATGCATTTATACATGGTTATGGACTTACAGAGGTAACTGTGAATTACTACTAGTAAGTTTATCTTAATCCTGGATGTTGTTTTCAGACACTACGCACTTTACAATGTGCACTGTAAGTTACAGAGCTATCACATTTCATGACCAGAACTCCTGGACAGACATAGGTGCATACTGATGGTAGGCATGCGTGCAGTAAATCTACTGCCTTCAGGACATGCTAGATTCACTGAGCAATCACATATAAACTGTACAGTTCACACACAGCAGGTCTGATGCTTCTCAAAACTCTTTGACCCAAGCAGCTTCATAGAGTAAGCACACAGGGCATAAAACTTTGATCCTTTTATTGTCATCTACAGCATCAAACCCCAAGTCTATTATGCACCTTCTTGATCCCCAAATCAAGTGAAACTTCTGGGCACCACCGTAATTTTCTTTCTGCTCAATGTATGTAGAGATGTCCTCCAGAATTTCTAGATATTCTGTGCAGAGCAGACTACCATAGATATGGAAATCCTGCCCCAAAATAAGAAATCCCTATACACAGGGATAAATCCAGGCCTACAAAGTTTCGGCAACCTGGAAAAAGCAGAAACATGGTCACTTTAAAATTCTCTTTCCC